GTTATCGTATAATCAGGTAACTATCTATATAATGATTATTATACTAGGTACTATTTATTACAAACTTAATATGTAGTTAAAAGTTGCAGTTAAAGAATGAGAAATATGTAAGAAGCGTTTTTTGTTTCAACATTGTGTTTTTGTTTATGTGTGTTGACTATATATCAAATAACCATAAAAATAGTGCAAACCGAAATACATACTTCAAAGAATATCAAATAATACTTAAGCCTCAGGAGCCTCATCTAAAATATAAATTTTTGTTAATGTTATAAGCTAAGATACATATATTTTATTTGAGATATATATATTATTTTAAGATTAATGAAAGAGATACAGCTGAGACATAGGCGATCAAGGATTGTCAATATGTTTCTACATTCCAAGTTAAATTTTCTATAATAAACATTCAACGATAGACTTTCAATAAATATTCCACATTTGATCCTCTACACGAATCTTTATATAGTCCGGCACACTTGTGAACATCTTTTAAATTTATTTTTCTCATACCTTTACACAAATATACATAATATGACGAGTATATCTGATCATAGTCTCAAAATGATAACCACCACGAATCTTAATTCGCTTGACATATATAAATAGTGTTAATTTATTGTATTATAAGGTCAGTTAGCAATTTCACTTCAATGATGCAACTTATGTTCGTTTTAGCGTATGTATTAGTTTAATTTGGATTTTTTGGACCTATATTAGTTTAAAATCATAAAAAAGGCTGGTATCTTACCTTAATGATACCTCTTACTAATATCTAATTATTTACAGGTCAATATTTTTACCTTATACTGCTTTTGTGAAATGCAGTTCGATAAGTAGTAATAGAAAATTTCCAAATGGATTTATGTTTGGAACAGGGACAGCCTCTTATCAAGTCGAAGGTGCCTGGGACGTAGATGGTATATTATTTTATAAATTATTTATATTTATTTATTTATTTAATACTTTTTTGCACACCACACTTTCAATAAAGACAATTACAAAAAAAAACAAACTTAAAACTAACGATGTAACAAAAGGCGGCCTTATGGCTTATTAGCCATTTCTTCCAGGCAACCTGGGGTTAGAGGATTTTGTTTGGAGACAGTATAGGGTGGTACATAGATATTCTTAAAATAAATGTAACCTAAACACATACAAAAATAAATAACAATAATAAATATTCAATAATATACATACGTACATATATCACTACATACATACATACATACATACATACATACATACATACATACTTACATTCGTACATACAAATACATATAAATACATACATACAAACATATAGATACATATATATATATATATATATATATAATACATACATGTCGTCATCATTATTGTGATAAGAGATATAGGTTCTTTAAGGACTTTTTAAAAGTATATAGGGTTTTAGACTGTCGAATGCTCAAAGGTAGGTCATTCCAGAGAGTTATTGCCTGCACAGTGAACGACTTGCTGTAATATTTACTGTTATGAGCAGGCATTTTCAGAATGAGCCTACGTGCTGGTCGCATTCTGGACTGATCTCCTACAAATTCAAATCTCTCCTTAAGATATTGAGGAGCATTTGGATTAAATAACACACAGTACAGAAGAGAAAGAGTATGCAGGTTCCGGCGACGGCGTATAGGGAGCCACTTGAGCTTTGAACGAAACTCTGAAACGTGGTCATACTTTCGGAGACCGAAAATAAACCGAATAGCTAGATTTTGTAATCGCTCAAGATAATTAAGTTGGTCCTCGGTAAGATTAAGATAGCTTGCGTCCGCGTAATCGAATATTGAAAGAAGGAGAGAGTTTGCAAGCATAGTTTTGGTAGGAATTGGCAGTAAGTTTTGAAGTCGGCGCAAAGAACTTAAGGAGGCGTATGTTTTTTTCCCAATATGCTTTAAATGCTCCGACCAGGAGAGAGTACTATCAAGCTGTATACCAAGGTCTCTAACATTGGAGCAGTAGGACAAGTTAGTACCATTGTACACAACCCGTGGCATCTCCGCCCAATCAACCCTTGCCATCATGGCTGAACTGCCAACAACAATGACCTGTGACTTTGCGGGATTGATGTTAAGCCCATACTGTTGACTCCATTTATGAATAGCCGACAAATCATTGTTGATGGCAGCGACAGCGTCAGATAATCTATCAAGGGTTGAGTGTCGGTAAATTTGGACATCGTCTGCATACATATGGTAGAGAGAAGAGATGACATGAGCAATTGAATTAATGAAAATTGAGAAAAGTAACGGAGACAACACGCCACCTTGAGGTACCCCAGCGCGGACTTCGCGCCATGACGAGTATGTTTCGTCCACACGAACTCGCTGTCTTCTGCCACTGAGGTAACTTTGAAGCCAGTCTTTTACGGATGGAGATATGTTAAAAGAACGTAACATACTCAACAAGATGTCATGGTCAACGCAGTTAAATGCGTTACTAAAATCAAGAAGAACTAAGATTGTGAGTTGTTTGGAGTCCATGGCCAATCGAATGTCGTCTGTGACTTTCACTAAAGCTGTAGCCGTACTATGACCTGCACGGAAGCCTGATTGGAGAGGATTGAGAAGGGAATGCTCATTAAGGAAACTATTAAGTTGATGTGAGACGAGCTTTTCAAGGACCTTGGATAGGAAAGGGAGAATTGAAATGGGACGGAAATCAGAAGCTGTTAAGGGATTACCTTTTTTAGGGATGGGGATAATTTGCGCATCCTTCCATGTGTCAGGAAACTTGCTGCAGGTAAGGGAAAAATTTAAGATATGGGTCAAAATGGGAATCACAATGTCGAGGATGGGAATGATCATATTACGGCTAATACAATCTGTGCCAACAGCATTCGAGGATATAGACATAATGTTCTTTTTAACATCACATTCAGTAAAAGACGTGAAGCTAAACGGAGGAAAGGCAGGAGTTGGGTAAGTAGAAATAATATTTAATGTGTTTGTTTTATCGCCACTATTAAGTGAGTTTGAAGATGAGAAGTGTTGACTTAAAAGTTCAATATCTAGATTAACAGGAGTATTATGAGAAGATTTACCAACTCCCAGTGATTCGAGAAATTTCCATGTTTTAGCTGTGTCGCCGTTTTCGACAGATTGATAAATATGGCGTCGTTGTGCATCTCTACAAGATGTATTGCAGCGATTTCGCGCTTTGTTATACTTCTCCCTGTTAGAGTCGGAGTCATTTAACTTAAATTTATACTTGGCCTTATTCTTTTGTTTTATAAGGTATTTTATTTGGTCCGTCAACCAAGGAGCTGGAAGGTGTTTTCTTTTTATTGGTTTTATAGGTGCGTGTTTGTCATACAGCTGCGTTATTAAGGTGTTAAACACGTTCAGTTTTTGATCAATTGTCTCTGCAGTGTAGACCGCAGACCAATCTAAATGACCGGCATCATCACAAAGACGGCTTTGATCCATTCCACCAAAACTACGCTGCAGAAGTGTTCTAGGTTTGAATTTAGGAGGACGGAGTTTATAAGAGAGATAAATCATGTCATGATAGGAAAAAGCATCGGCGGAACATTGGCCGAATTTAGCAACAGAATCTGGGGAAGAGACCATAATAAGGTCAAGAAGCGATGGAGAACAGCCGGGGAAATAATGGGTAGCTGATAGAGGTAAAATTTTTATATTATGGGATTCTGTTATAGCCACTAATTTCTTACTATTGGTGTCGCCTTTAAGTAAGCACGTATTAAAATCACCCATTATAATGGAATGGCTGTAATTAGGTGTTAAATTATCTAATAGGGTTTCAAAAGAAGAATAGTAATTATTCTGAGAATTAGGGTTATAATACACGCCAAGAAGGATTTTAATGCAGTTGGTAAGTGAGACTTCAAGACATAAATGTTCGGCCGCATCGAATTGAGCAGATGGGGATGACGAACTAAGTATGGCGAACGGGATGTGGGATCTTAAATAGATCGCCACCCCACCCCCCCGCCTATCAATGCGGTCGTTGCGAATAAGCTTGAAACCTGGTAGTGCGTAAGACGTAGACGGCAGACATGGCTGCAGCCATGTCTCAGATATAAGTATGGCGTGAATATTATGGGAATCAAATGACGCAAGCATATCAGGATAATGAGCCGGTATACTTTGAGCATTAATATGGATGATATTAAAATTTTTCAGGCAATCTGAGAAATAAGAATCTATGGCGACATTAAGTGGAGGAGGAGATGTACTGTGGTAACTAGCATCACTCAACGAATCGTCGGACGACGACAAAGACAAAAAGTAATCACTATCAATACTAATATTAGACGTCATAACAAATATATATGGACTATAATTATAAAATAAATAAAATAAAAATAAAATAAATGAAAATAAAAATAAATAAATAAAATTAAAATAAAATACACAATTATAATATTAAATTGCAATCACCAACAATCCTCCAACCCGCTAGCTACATGAAATGGCAAGAGAAAAATGAATGAACTATGACAAAAACAAAGTTATAGTGGCAACTTAAACAACATATACAAAAAGGAACACTATAACAAAAATACAAGTAATCAAAAACACAGAGAAAAAAAACATAAAAACTAAAAATAAAGAAAGTTAAAATAATTTCCAATAAAAATTTAAATTAATAAAAGTTATCAACATAGCTTGCAAATGTTATCAATATAACATCAAGCCTGCATAGCAAAGTTACAAAAGGGTTAGAATGGATTCTTTACCTCACTTAGACTAACAATTTCCGAACGCAGCATATAAAAAAACAAAATTAAATGTAATCTGTTAGCTGTCAAATGTCAATTACAATATAATTTATGTGCAATATTATTTAGTTATCTTTGTTATTGTTAGTTAAAAGTGGGTAAAAGTAAACTAAGTCAATGTATGAAAAGTGAAATAAGTTAATAAATGTAAACAAAGACGCGAATACATACTGAGGCGGACTATCAATGCTCAGAACTTTATGTTAGCTTTTTCACAGTCCTCTTAAGCCTAGGATTAATGCCTTTGGATGGTTTGGGGGCTTCCTCGGCGTTAGGTGACGTCTGCGGGGCTGAGGTATCGCTCCCAGCACTCTGAATAGCTTGTAATTCCGCCATGGTGGTAATACGATGCCGCGAGCCATCCGAAGACAGGACTATTATGATACCGTCTCTTGTCCAACACTTTGCAACCCCAAACCTTTGTCTAGCGGCCAGGAATGTTCTGTGGCGGCCCTTTGTGAGAAACTCGGACATGGTTATTCCGGAGCCTTTCAAACTGGACTTGGTGGACCAGACCTTATCTTTGACAGATTGGTCTTTAAATTTTATCAATACTGGACGGGGCTTCGTAGTAACCATATGCCCTAAACGATGACAATGTCTAAAGGAGTCGGGGTTAATATTTGGGATATTCAAATGTTCAGCTAAAGTTTTTGAGGCACGCACAGCGACATTCTCTTTAGAATCTTCAGCAATTCCATGCAACAGAATAATTTTCTTCCTTGAATGCATTTCCAACTGGTCATATTGTCTTGATAAGAATTCGACTTGTAGTTGTAAGTTTTCTAGGGCTGTCAGAACAAATGACCGAAATAAATTGAACTGACTGTTAATATTCGATGCAGGGCTCGTAGCTGGGATGGAGGTCTTTAATTCTTTTTGGAATTCAGACATTTTAGTATTAAATAGTGCAGTGAGTTCCTCTATTGTGTTCTTGATAGACTCCATAGTTATAGATGTGTATTAGAGGTGAAAATATTTTAGCTTACTTTGTTGTATATAGTTAAGTCACAGTTGTTATTTGATGTTGCAGTAGCTGGCAGTTGGTAAGTGATCACATATACATATAACGTTTAGATTTTAAAACTGATATTATATTTTATTTATCAATAAATTAAGAGCTTTAAAATTTACGACTTTTTTATTCCACGCCTACCCGCCGTTTTGTTAAATTATTTTGTTTAATAAAGATAACAAATCAATAACAATAATTTTTTCGTCAACTGTAGTTTTTGTAGTACTCTCAAAAGTGACTTCTAACTATAGCGATGAAAATGATTTAAAATATGAATATACATACTATGAAATTTAATTTATATAATATGTTATTTCCCTATTAGGAAAATCGGAAAATATCTGGGACCACTTAACTCACACCGATCCCTGCAAAGTCCAAGACTGTTCAAATGGTGATGTCGCTGATAACTCTTATTATCTTTATAAAAGAGATGTGGAGATGATGCGAGAGTTAGGACTCGACACTTACAGGTTTTCTATCTCTTGGACCAGAATCCTTGCTACTGGATTTCCAGATTACATAAATAAAGCTGGAGTAGCATATTACAACAACTTAATTGATGAAATGCTAAAATATAACATTCAACCGATAATAACTTTATACCATTGGGATTTACCTCAAAAATTACAAGACATGGGAGGCTGGACAAATAGTGAAATTGTTAATTGGTTTGGGGACTATGCACGAGTTATATTTAAACTTTTTGGTGATAGAGTAAAATATTTCATCACTATTAATGAACCTCATCAAGTTTGTGTGTTTGGTTATGGAGAAGATATATTGGCACCGGTATTGAACATACAAGGTGTAGCTGACTATTTATGCATGAAAAATGTACTACTAGGTCACGCTAGTGCTTATCACATTTATGATAAAGAATTTCGGGGGAAACATAAAGGAAAAATATTCATTACCATTAACGCCGAATGGCATGAACCGAAAACAGTGAATGACGAGGAAGCAGCTCGGGATGCTAGACAATTTTATGTGTGTAGATGAAATAATTTCTTAAGTATTTTAATTTATCCTTATTTTTGATTTATGTTCCATTTTTATAATAAATATTTGACAAGTAGGAATTGTGCACTTCTGTGTGTGTGTAAAATGTTTTAAGTAAACATTAGCTGTGATGGAATGTTTATTACTAAATGAATAAAACTTATGTAATATGTTGACGGAGTACGAACATGCATACAATAATTTAGTTCAAAAATATTTTTTGTTTGCAATATTTTGTAAATAATATCAATTAATTTCAGTGGGAGGTTTACGCTCATCCAATATTTTCAAAAACTGGAAATTTTCCTCCAGAAATGATAAAGAGGATAGCGGATAAAAGTGCTGCACAAGGTTTTCTTAGATCAAGATTACCCGAACTATCAAGCACGGAAGTAAAATTTATACAAGGAACCTCTGACTTCTTTGGACTGAATCATTATTCAACGTATATTGTTTATAGAAATGAGAGTTCACCTGAAATTCATCCTGTACCAACATTCGGTGACGATCTTGATATAATAGCATATCAGTTACCTGAATGGAAAATTGGAAGATCAAATATTACTAAGGTCTTTCATAATCAACCTACCTAATATAAGTGAATAATTTACAAGCATTATTTTTTTCCATTATTTTTTGAAGAGTTCGCTCCGAATATAGCAATTAAATAAATTACAAATCACATGTTATATTTTAATAGTATGTATATTATTTCAGTATGTTCCTTGGGGTTTTCAGTCGTTATTAAACTATATCAGTCATCAATACGGAAATCCACCTATATTAGTTATTGAGAACGGATTTGCGACCCATGGTGGTATTAACGACCAAGATAGAGTGACATACTATAGAGGTTACTTGAATGCTGTTCTAGATACCATCGAAGATGGTGTTGATATAAGAGGGTATACTGCCTGGAGTCTCATGGACAATTTTGAGTGGGCGAATGGATACATGTAAGTTAATATGTAAGGATGTGACCAAAATTTATATTCAGTAAGGATCAAAGATGTTTTCTTAACATTTTGGATATTTTTATGCTAGATGACGAACTCGTCTCTTTGCTTTCACAGCGAACGCTTTGGTCTGTATGAAGTTGACTACAACGACCCAAACCGCACTCGTACGCCTCGCAAGTCTGCTTATGTACTGAAGGAAATAATGAGGACACGATCTATTGATCCCAACTATGAACCTGACATGAACCAACCTCTGACCATTGATGATGGACATTAATTAATGATAATGTATATGGGCGCGGTTGTGGGTTCCGAATTATATGAATTATATTTATTAACTTGTATATTGTCGATCTTTATTTTAAACTAGAAGACCTGGCGAACTTCGTATCGCCCTATAATCAAGAAATATCTATTACGTTTTTTTTAATTTATATATATGGACTTTACCTGTAAATAAATCTCCGTGTTTTGAAGTGCGACAGAATGATTGACATATTAGTTAGTTGTCAAATCTAATGTAAAAAAAAAGTTTGTATGGGAAATAGAAAAGGGCTGTTTTTATGGTTTTCCCAGTAATGAATCAATTTTTTTCAGCTTTTAAACCTTCCCTGAACCTTCACGAACATTTCAAGACTAAGATAAGATAAATCCGTTCAGCTGTTCTCGAGTTTTAGCGAGACTAAGGAACAGCAATCCATTTTTATATATATAGAAGATGAATTTGTAAACACTTTGTGCTACCCCCTCTATATATTATTAAAATAATCTGATAATGTCTTTAAAAGGTCCAATATAGTGGGGATTCATTCTATTGGTTACACCAAGTGAGAAAAGATTGTAAGTAGAAACTCTCGAAGTTTGAATACAAATCTTTTACTGTGAAGCCTGTGGTATTATTTCTAAAGCAATCTGTAAAGAAAATGAATCATAAAAGTAATCCGGAGCCTGATACTCCAACATGTACATAAAGTAAAAAAAAAACAACTATCCTTTTATACATCCGATGTGAAAATGCATGATTTGGTTGTTACTCCTCAATAGTATAATATAATATTAGCTCCTAGCATATGAAAGCGGCGTTTTATAAGGGAGTGTTTTAATGTTTATTTATTTTCAATTTAATACAAGTTGGGATATAAAGTTGAGCTAATTATAAAAAAAAACATAAAAAAGCTAAAAGGCTCAGGCAAGATAATGTATAATTATAGTACAAAAGAAATAGAAATTTTATTTTTTTAAAATTGTTTCGCTGTCAGCTTTGCAATCTACACTCTTCCAATCTAGGCTTTAAATACGTGAAAACTCGTTGGCTCATCTCTTGTGGGATAGCGGACATCTCCTCGCGAATGTTATCTTTAACCTTCATTGGCGAACATGTGACTCTTGAGGTACCCCAAGGAAAAAATCCTGTATCAGGTCAGGGAATGCCTCCTCGTCACGATATCAGTTTTCTACTAAACATTTCATTAATAACTATCAAAGCCTCATTGGATGTATGGGATGGCACGCCATCTGGTTGACACCATGTCCTTCTGTTATATGCTTCAAAATTTTCCAGTTGTTCAAAGAAAACGTTAGGTAATATTGCTGTGTACCGGTAAAAATATACTGTTACTGCCTGGCCTCGCTCATTTTCGATGAAATAAGATCGGAAGACCGACATGGCAACAGCAATTGTAAATTAAAGCGAATATAAAGGTCGTTGATTTTTCAATTGAGGATTTTCTTTTCCCGACCGACAATTTTGTTTATTGACCAAGCCACTTCAATTCGCTTCAGTTATATCTTTATTTTAATTGATATTTGTCAGGCTTCTTTCAAGATCACCGTAAAATATTCAAACCCTCTCCTAAAACACCTCTTTCATCTTAGAGTATATTTAAAATTTTCAATTGTTTTTAAGCATTTATTATATTGTTAATTGTCGTTTTATTTTGTTTTCGTCCGTTTTTATATGTATACAGTAATTTTATATTATGTGTTTACTTACACATGTTTTTAATACATCTCATCAAGGTCCTTTATCGTAAAGGACACTTGAAAGAAATCCCTCATAAGCCATAAAGGTCGAATTTTTTATTTATATTTCTATTGTGATACAGTTTATTTATTTTAGATTCGGTGGCGAAAGGTAAATTTTATACCAGTATATACTATGTATATCTATTCATATCACTGAATACAAATGTATAGTAAAATGAAATTTTGTATCTTTATATACTTAAGTAGTTAAATTGAAATCAAATACAAAAATCTTCTGAAACGAAGGTATTTTTGATGTACCAAATCATTTTTCAAATAATTGTAACTGTTTCATCTTAATATCTTAAAAGCATTATAACTATTTTCTTGTTAACTGTCGTAAGTTTTTTCAAATGTAAATTTTTAATATTTGCAATTAATTAGTTGTTATCTTAGCAGCTCGACTTCTTCAACTGTTATCTTGCCGTTTTATCAGCTAGCGAGAATTACTTTGTTCCGTTTTAGAGAATATTTGAATAGATAATTGTTTTCATTTGTGTTTATTTGTAAAAGGTTCAACATCTAAAGGTTTAAGAAAAAGGAAGCAATATGTAACGACTTGATAGGGAATAACCTAAACTATTGTAGTTGTCAAAAATGTAGAGTACAAAAATAATAAAATGGAGGGTAAGGTCTAGAACATAAGCAATTTTTCAATAGGTTACTCTATACGGAACCCTCGGTACCGTAGCGCGAACACGCTAACGGATTTAATTACTTGTTTAAATTATTTTTCAGATAAACAATTTATAACCTCCAATAATTTTCTAACTTGTATAAAAATCATATTTTTGTGTTATAATGTCAGTCGATCGTTAAATTTCAACAATGGCATTAATTTCTGTTCTAGCGTAAGTAGCATTCAACTTTTAATAACCTCGTTCTATAGGAGAGGGACTGTAAACTTCATCCTTTTTTGTGAATGAGATTATTGAGAAAGGTATTTTTTTATATTTCAAAATATTTTCAGATCTATCTTTGGACTTAATGTCTTGTTTGTAACATGCAATTCAATAAGTAGCGTGAAGAAATTTCCGGATGGATTTATGTTTGGAACGGCGACAGCGTCTTATCAAGTCGAAGGTGCCTGGGACGTAGATGGTATATTATTTTATAAATTCTTTTGTTTAATAAAGATACCAAATCAATACGATACTTTTTTCGTCAACTGTAATTTTTGTAGTACTAACAAAAGGGACTTCTAACTATAGCGATGAAAATAATTAAAAATATACACATACTATGAAATTTAATTTATATAATATGTAATTTCCTCATTAGGAAAATCGGAAAATATCTGGGACCACTTAACTCACACCGATCCCTGCAAAGTGCTAGACTGTTCAAATGGTGATGTCGCTGATAACTCTTATTATCTTTATAAAAGAGATGTGGAGATGATGCGAGAGTTAGGACTCGACACTTACAGGTTTTCTATCTCTTGGACCAGAATCCTTCCTACTGGTTTTCCGGATTACATTAATAAAGCTGGAGTATCATATTACAACAACTTAATTGATGAATTACTGAAATATAACATTCAGCCGATAATAACTTTATACCATTGGGATCTACCTCAAAAATTACAAGACATGGGAGGCTGGACAAATAATGAAATTGTTAATTGGTTTGGTGACTACTCTCGAGTTATATTTCAAGTTTTTGGTGATAAAGTTAAATATTTCATCACTATTAATGAACCACATCAAGTTTGCCTGCTTGGTTATGGAGAAGATATATTTGCACCAGCATTAAACATACATGGTATCGCTGACTACTTATGCACAAGAAATATTCTATTGTCTCATGCCAAAGCTTATCATATTTATAATGAAGAATTTAGAGCGAAACAAAAAGGAAAAATATTCATTACCATTAACGCCGAATAGTATGAACCAAAAACAATAGATGACGAAAAAGCTGCCCGGGATGCTAGGCAATTTAATGTCAGTATAAATAAAACTATTTCTTAACTTATCCAGCCATCATTTCCTTTTAAAAATCTTAGAAAAATTGTGAAAGGCAAAAGTATTGATAAATTACAGATAAAGATTCAATTAAGATTACAGATAAACATTCAAAATTAATTGATTTGCCTAGTACAATTCAAACATTAAATAAAGACCTAGAATCAATTGTACTTTGGAGTAAATCCCATGGACTTAAAGTTAATCCTTTGAAAAGACAAGCAATTAAAATCGGCAGTCAAAAACTAGTTTCCCGCATCGATTGGCCCAATTTGCCTGGTATAATTGTTGATGGAACAATTGTTCCATACAGTAAAAAATCTAGGTGTTGTTTTTGATAGATTTCTGACCTGGACCCCCCAAGTAAGTGAGGTGAGCAGGAAGGTGTTTGCATCTATCGGGTCTCTTCGCAGATTGCGAAATTTTCTACCGATACCAACTAAAATTGTGCTTGCACAATCTCTCCTGCTACCGATTCTCGATTATGCTGATACCTGTTATCTCAATTTAAGTGAGGAATTGCTTAATAAACTTGAGCGCATCCAGAATCTTTGTATACGGTTCATATTTGGACTTCGTAAATATGACCATGTTTCAGAATTTCGCGAAAAACTCAAGTGGCCCTCAATCCGCCTTCGCAGGAATACTCACATTCTTTCCCTATTATACAATATCCTATTTAATCCTACCTCTCCCTCATACCTTAAAAAGCGCTTTGAATTCCTGAGTGATTCTCATTGTCGCTCTCTTCGGTCTGACGATAAGTTGATTTTAAAAATCCCCTCCCACAATACATCCTTCTATTCTAAATCCTTTTCTGTGGAAGCTGTACGGCTCTGGAATTCCTTACCACTTACCATACGGCGTGCTCAATCCCTAGCAATATTCAAACGGCTTTTAAAAGCAAACTTCTTCCCCCCTTAAATTTTGTCTACCTGTTTCCTTAATATTTATGATTGTTATTTTTCTATTTATTCTAAACTCCTACTCTGCAATGTATGTGGCTTATATTTTTAATTTATTATAAATATATATATATATGTGTATGTATATATATGTATGTGTATATATATATATGTATGTATATATAAATTATATATATAGATTATTGTATATTGAATGTAGCATATATATGTTTTACTATATATATGTGTATAGTTTCGTATATGTATATTTTTCTCTCACATACATATGTACACCTCTAATGTTTTATTCTGTTTACTGTGTCCTACGTAACATGGTTGCCTGGCAGAGATCGCTGCTTAGCGATAAGGCCGCCAATTGT